TTTTGGTGTAAAGTTGTTTTCTAAAATGGAAGTGTGAACTTAAATAAGGGACATCCCGAAAAGGAAAGTGGGAACATAAATAGGTCCGAAGGAAGTATGTACGAGGATGTATTAATATGATTAACTAGCAGGTATATGGCAATAAAGCAAAGCAAATCAATTAGATGAATACAAAACGGACTGAGCCAGGGGAGAGCAAACTTACATTCAATAGCTTAGTCTACCTCTATTTATCTGTAAACTTCTCAACCTATAATTAGAGAGCAGAGGTGTGTTCGGACTCTATATAAGGGTGTGTTGTAACCGTTCTATATTCATCTATTTGAACATATCGCACTTTATCTTTCTTTTATTTGCTTTGTTTTATTGTCATATACGAAGTACTTGCTAATAATTAACCATATTGATACATCCACATTAAAAGACCTGACGAAACTCGAAAGAGCGTGTTGGGCTTTTGGAGTGCGAAGACTTGACAACAATGGTAATGTTTAAATAACTTACTCCCTCATTCACTCAAAACGTTATCAAATTTGATTGATACGAGAAATAATAAAGTAAAAACTACGTAATTGGGATATGTGCATAGGAGAGAAAAATAACAGGAACCACAAATTCATTTATTAAAGTAGAAAAAGGCAAAAAAATTGGACATCCAAAAAAAATATAACAAAATTTTATGGGATGGAGAAAGTATATATATATACTCCATATTAAAAAAACTAAAGTACTAAATTTGTCTCACCTTACATTTTCAATATCTACTACATCCATTCAAATTTAATTATTCTATATTCCTTTTTAGGAACTTTATTACTCCGTATTATTTTTCAAATTTTTAAGTTTTTCTTATAAAAATATTTTATACCTGCACTTTTATTACTCTTACTTTTACTTTTCATAAACTATTTTCTCTTGTGTTTACCAAAAACAACTTTCTCTTTCTCTTTCTTAATATATTCTGAGTACTATGGAGTAAAAAGTAAGCCTTTAGGCTATAGAATAATCTAAAATATGGGTAAATAAATGATAAATATACAAAGTATTTATGTGATATTCCCTTTGTCTTCTTGATTAAATTTCTCTTTTATTAGAGTAAAATTACATGATTGTACAGAGCAAGTCATTCGAACTAGCACAGATGGTCACAAAATAAATTTAGTTTGAATTTAGCCCAATTTATTGTTGTGGATACCATTCTAGTTTGCATTATTTTCATGAACACTCTTAGTAAAGACTATTATTTTAAAATCTTTGAAAATAAATATTATCCTTATGAATTTCGCTTAAAATAAAAGAAGTTTTTGGCAACCATAAAGGAAAGAAAAAGGTTTTGAAACCTGAAATGTACAAAAGTACTTTGTATCTGTCAAAGCATCGAGTTCCATATTACTACATACTCTGTATTGGTCAGAGTGTTGAGTTGCTTCGAGTTCTACATTCCTTTTTTTGTAAATTTATGTTCTTGTTTTTATGTGTGTAATTGTATTGATATTAGATCTTGATTGCATGCATGGCAATTGAAAAGGAGTTACCAAGAGATGGAGAGAAGATTCAAGGTGTATGTGTATCAAGAAGGTGAACCACCCTTAGTGCATGGAGGACCTTGCAAGAGTATATATTCAAGCGAGGGAAGATTCATTAGCGAGATGGAGAGTGAAAACATCACCAATTTCAGGACTTATGACCCCAACATGGCTCATACTTTTTTCATGCCTTTCAGTGTTGTGTGGATGGTGAAGTACATCTACAAGACCGACACCTTTGACATATCTCCTTTGAAACAGTTCGTTTCAGATTATGTTAGTGTCATTTCCACAAAACATCATTTTTGGAATCGAACTTCTGGAGCTGATCATTTCATGCTTTCTTGCCATGATTGGGTATGCATCCCCTCCTTTCATTTGAGTTTTTATTCTTGGAATGATCCATTGTTAATTTCACTCCTATTTATCATCACATATATGGGGGGGAATGGGAATATAAGATTAGTGTGTGATATGATAATTTGATCCCTGGATCACACATATGTGTAAGATCAAAGGAACCATTGAGTGAGCCAAAGCTAGAAGTAATGGATGTGATGATGTTTCGATGGACATACAATATTCGAACTTGAATTTGTTCGATCATATTCTAGAGAAAATAAGAGAGGGAAGATTGAGGCGGTTCTTTCAAATGTGCAAGGTAGAAGCACAACACCAATAAAAATGGTGGAGAGCATTTCAATAAAAATGTTGGAGAGCATTTTGAGAGTGAAATGCAAAAACGATACTTATATATTATTGGCTTGGTTGCATTTTAATTGTTAACTTAACTCTTAAATGAATCAAATCAGTGCCATAACTATACATAAATGTTTCAATAGTCAATGTTATTCAATTTTACGACCCAAAAAATTTCTGTAACGGCCACAATTTCATGTGTAAAATCCACTTAACTTTTTTTGTTCATGTCATCACTTTAAGGTGACCCTACACATGACATTTTGTTCGTTAAGTAGGTTTTTTTTACCATAAATTTGTATAGTATTATAGGTTGAAACATTTACGCATGGTTATGGCACTGATTTGTTTCATTTAAAATTTATGGTACCAATACTTAAGATATCGTTTATGCATTTTACTCGCATTTCCATCAAAAGTGTAGGAAGAAAATTAAGACCACATATATAGAACACGAGAATCACATAATAAGTGTAACATCATGAAGATCCCAAAAAGGATTAAAATTGATTATCATACTAACGAGTTGCATTTTGAATGGCGTCAATCTCCTAAGAACTTCAAAGTAGTTAAGCGTATTTGTATGGCATAGCTTTGAAGATGGATGACTTTTGAGAAAAGTGCACAAAAAATGTTTGTGTTGGTTGTTAGGACATAACTAAGTTTAATATCTTGGAGTAACACTACCTCGTACGTTGCAAGCTAAGGTAATGATTTTTCAAGACTTTGTAATAAGGTAGTCCCATTTGATTTTGACATGTCTGAGTTGTGATAACATCTTCCTTTTTAGGTATTTCTTAATGTTCTTACTTGTGTGTTTGTTTGCCTACTTGTTTACTTGATTAGTTCATATGTCTTGATTTTTATTTCACTCGTGTTATTAGTCACTACAAGTCGAGTCTCTTCGAAAAATGGTATCTACATCTCTTGCAGGGCCCCATGGTTTCACAAGGCAATGCATTCCTCTACAACACATCAATAAGGGTTTTGTGCAATGCCAATTCTTCAGAAGGATTCAACCCACAAAAAGACGTTAGTTTACCTGAGATTAATCTATATGGAGGTGAAATCTCACCCAAGATTGAATCACCTCCTCCAGAAAACATATCAAGGCCATACCTTGGCTTCTTCGCTGGCGGCGTGCATGGCCCGATTCGACCAATCCTCCTCCATCATTGGAAGGATAAAGATCCAGATTTACGCGTATATGAATATTTACCAAATGGGGAAAAAGATTACTATGATTTCATGTTGGAGTCAAGGTTTTGCCTTTGTCCGAGTGGATATGAAGTGGCAAGCCCTAGAATTGCTGAAGCAATATATTCTGGGTGTGTTCCAGTGATACTTTCTGAACGTTACGTCTTGCCTTTTAGTGATGTACTAAATTGGGATTCATTCTCTATTCAGCTTAATGTGTCAGATATTCCAATGTTGAAGGAGAAATTGTTGGGTGTTTCAGAAGAGAAGTACATGAAGCTCAAAGAAGGCGTGAGATTTGTTAGGAAGCATTTCGTGTTTAACCAACCTGTTCAAAGGTTTGATGTTTTCCATATGATTTTACACTCTGTGTGGTTAAGAAGAATAAATATTAGATTTGAGTGATTGATCGATTGTTTATTTATAAATACAAGTATAGTGAGCTTATTTAATTATTTAGGTATAATGATATACACAATTAACAACATTATGCATTGTTTCATGAATTCTAAATATGCACTGATGTCATATTGAATTCTAGAGATAGGAGTCTAAAACATCCACTAAATAAGAGAGTTAAACCTCAAGTCCATTTTATTTTACGGACACATTTGAATACACCAGAAAGTTCATTATATTCATGTGGTATAATATATGGAATTATTCCATTGTTCGCACGAGGATGCTCGTTTTTCGATAAGAATATAACAAATCCGGAGTGTATATAATTGAGATAGAGAGTCATTTAGAGAGATCATCTAGCCGGCCTCAAGTCTACCCAAATAACTCGAAAACGCTTGTCAATGTCATGGTCATGTAAGCTTACAATTTAAAGGTTCCAAGCTTTGAGGCGAAACAAGTGGGAGTTGAACATGGCTGACATGACTATTAGCTAGTCAAAGAGTTTTTGTCACATTCTATACTTGAATATTATGTCAGTGATAGTTTTGGTACACGATTTTTAACTTTTCCATTTTAATCCTTCAACTATATATCGTGCGAGAGACACATTTAGTCCTCGTCTTCAAAGTTCTCCGCATTTAATCCTCTGAGTATTATAAAATTAACACGTCTAGTCCTTCCACTATGATTTTGACACAATAAATAAATGAAAAAAATGTCACTATTATAATAGTTGAAGATTCAAAAGTGTCATTTTTATGAAGGTCAATGTATTAAATAAGAAAATTTTCAAAGATAAGTATCAAAAGTGTCTTTCACACAATAGTTCAAAGACTAAAAGTGGAAAATATAAAGTCTAGTACTAAAAGTGTCAATAACATAATAGTCAGAAGACTAAACGTGCTAAAAGCTTAATAGTCAGAAGATTGAACATGTCTTGAACGGGTTTGAGATAATTTAGTTTCATTTTGATCACTTTTATATATTTAAATAGTTTTTTTTTTGTTGTGAATTACTTCCTCCGTCCCATTTTACTTGTCCTACTTTCCTTTTTGGGTTGTCCCAAAATAAGTGTCAGCAGGTTCGCTCGTGCAAGGGGGATGTGCAAAAATTGGATTTTGAACTGATCGGCCGAAATCTCACGTGCGCAAGAGATTCCCTTTCTCTATTTTGTTTTTACTCCTTAAAAATAGGTGTTCATATAAAAAAGGCTCAAAAGTCCCTTAAGAGTCCCAATGTGGGACAAAGTTTATGAGCCAAGTGCAAAATCTCTTTTGGAATAGTCTAAGTTTTTCAATAATTGATCTAAGACGAACTAAATTTGTTGCATGTAATTAACATGTCCCTCAGCTGATGAAGAGCCCGGTGAATTACACATCAATGATTACATTGGTGACCATGATGTTTAAACACTTAATCGGGAAAACCATTGAGGTGCAAGCATGCGATATGCTGGTTTCGTCAAAATGTACCTTTGAAGTTTTCTTACGTGATTAAACACTTAGGTGCGTTTTGGGAAATGAAGCAGCTGATTAGTTCACCCTAATCGGATATCTTGCATAAATCGCCACAAGAGGCAATACAATAACTATGATTTATTATTTTTATGATATTATCACAACGAGTGGTCTTCTTGTCAGGGCGGCCTGACGGGATGCTCCTTCCGGCCGAGCCCGTTTGGGCACCTTCCCGGTGGAATTTTTTGATAAAATTTTTTGACCATGTTCCTCATCAAGTCTAGTTTGTCCATACTAAAATTCAGCTCCAAATTCGATTGGGAAGGCATTCAAATCATTTTTTGAAGTTGACTGCGTCAAAGTATACATATAAAACTGCAATCAACTTCAAAAAATGATTTGAATGCCTTCCCGATCTAATTTTGAGCTGAATTTTGGTATGGACAAACTAGACTTGATGAGGAACATGTTCAAAAAATTCCATTAAAAAATTCCACCGGGAAGGTGCCCAAACGGGCTTGGCCGGACGGAGCATCCCGTCAAGCCGGCCTGACATGAAGATTTGTCTTATCACAACACCAATAATAATAAACTAATAATAATAACAATAGTGAGTATTCATAAATACGTACTCCCTCCATATTGTTTTGTTTGCTACAATAGGTGTTGACAAGTTTTTTTAAGAGTGAAATAGTAGGGGTAATGACTAATGTAGAAAAAGTAGGAGAAATGGTGGGAAAATATGAAAGAGAAGATAAAAAGTAGAAAACGTAAGGGGTAATTGAGTATTCTTTTAAAGGAAAAACTTACCAAAAAAAGAAAGTGTAGCAAATTTTGAATACATCCAAATGAGGAAAGCGTAGCAAACAAAAAAATACGGAGGGGGTAATATTTAACAAGGATAACACATATTGAAAATTAAAGGTTAGTATAATAAAACTATATAAGAAGAAATAGAGAAAAACCGTCCATGTAGGGTAGGGGTGCAAATGAGTTGAGCAGCTCGTGAGCCGCTCGGTCAAAGCTCAAATCGAGATCGGTCAAACTCGAGCTCGAGCCGGCTCGTTAAGCAGTCCAGCCATAAAACGAGCCTACTAATTTTAGGCTCGTTGGCTCGTGAGCTAGTTATATACTTCGTATATGTGTATATTTATATTGATATATACAATATATTAACATACAACATAAATTAATATATAATATATGTTAGTATATATATATATATAGGTTTTGGTTCAAATAAAAACACGATCTTATGAGAGAAATGAGAATGAATCAGGACCGTTACATTTGCTTCAAGTGAGATTCAGTGTGCATTGGATGATACTGTAATGTGCATTGGGTGAAATTGAAATGTGCATTACAAAGGGTACGATAGAGTGGCATTATGTGCAGTTGAATTGTGCATTACGTGAAATTGAAATGTGCATTAGGTGAAGCTGAAATGTGCAGAATAAAAAGTACGATGTGATGTTATTTTTGTACTTTTTTTACGCACATATCAGTTTCATCTAATGCACACTTGAGTTTAAATTTTTATTTTGCACATTTCAATATCATTTATTGCACATTTCAGTTTCACTAAATGCACAATTTGGTTCCACATAATACAATCCAACGGTCCAGATTCGTTCTCATTTTTCTCCTAAGATCTGTTCTTACCGGAACCGCGCCATATATATATATATATATATATATATATATATATATATATATATATATATATATATATATATATATATATATATATATAGAGAGAGAGAGAGAGAGAGAGAGAGAGAGAGAGAGAGAGAGAGGGGGGGGTAAGGTCAAGTGAGAAGAACCCTTTGGGTGAGAAATGAGAATGAATCTCAGTCATTGGATTCGACTAATTTGCAGTAAAAGACACTTCATGATGCACTGAAATATGCAATCTAGCACGGTGGCATTTCTGTAAATACTTCTGAAAAATCCGTATTACACGTGTCTAGTGCAACATGAAGCTATTTCGGTGCAACGCTGTCAAATATTAGTGCAACATGAAACAGTTTTAGTGCAACATGTGCAAAATTTAAATATTACTGCAACATAAAGATAATTTTAGTGCAACTTCGTAAATCCAATGACTGAAATTCATTCTCATTTCTCACACTAGATGCATTTCTCACCTGAACCAATATATATATATATATATAATACCGATTCATAAATGTATATGAGGACCGAGGAGATATATATTATTAATTATAAAGTAATTTAACAAAAAAAATCAAATTTTCATCCACTATTTCTTCATGGTTTGACCACTTTGATATATATTTGAAGTACAAGTAGGTGGAGACTTGAAATTAGGATTATATTTTGTTTATTTTTCCGTAAGTTTTTGTTGTTGGAAAAGTAAATTGCAATTTGCAAATGTTAAGTACAAATATTTAAAGATTGTTTCATACTTGAGCTCGAGTTTGAACCCAAACTTTCGAGCTAATTGAATTTGTAACTTTTGAACGAACCAAAATTTCCGAGCCTTATCGAGCCATGTTAATATTTGCGAGTCGAGCTCGAGCTCGGATTTTTTAAGCTCGTTCGAGCCGAGCTCGAGCTCGAGCCAATACAATATATTCGAGCCCAAGCTCGAGCCTACATAAACTCGGGTTCGGCTCGGCTCGTCTGCACTCCTAATGTAGATTGTAGGGTAAGTAATGCAACACCACTATCCCAGTTGCTCCACGCAAGTTGAACTCCCGCGTGAATTGCTTTTGAACAATTCTGATTAGTTTAAGACCCGATTAGTTCGTCATAGTACCGTAATGGTGAGCTAGTTGGGATTTTTTTTTTAAATATTGATAATAAATATTTCATTATGATAGAGTGACACATGAGCTATAATTGTGTTTTATCATATAAAAATATATTCTAGCTTTAACCGCTATTCATTTAAATTAAGTATTGAATAATTTTATATTTTGAATCTGACGACGCAAAATCCGGGGTCTAGGGCGGAAGTTTTCCTTTTTACACTCGAGCTATTTCTCTGTATTATTCATTAATTGATGTTTTGTTTTTGTAACATACGGAAGTTACATAATATTCAGTTTTTAATAAAATACTCCCTCCTTCCTTAACGTCCATGGGCCTCATTCAAGATGTTTTTACTTTGAAATTTATTCATTGATATGTTGAAGTCTGGTCTCGTAAATGTCTGGAGCGGTTATTGTGTTGCAACATTCATGTCTGCAATTCCCACTTGCGTGCCATGTGGATAAGGTCTCTCCTTGTCACGGTAACCGTTTTTCTCTCCAAACGGACACTGTATGACTTGACCAATCTAGCTTCCGCCTCATCCTTTGCACAATCAACTCCTTTGTTTGCAGCAAACTACTCCACACAAACTCCTAAGTCCCTAAACCTACCAACAAAAAAGAAGATTTCAGAAAGTACTGAGCCTTATAAATTTCTCCCACCAAGGTATTTGGTCAGGAGATTAATCTCCACAATTGCTTTCCCAATATCGCTAGATTGAATTCACGTAGAGACCTATACTCCAACCCTCCTTTTTGTTTAGGTCTACATAAATATTGTCAATTCCTCTAACGAATTTATGTACCC